ATGACATCCACCATGCGTCAATCTTACCGTCTATATTCATTTATTTTTGTTTTGATAAAATATATTCAATTATTAGCATACATTAATTTGAAACATTCTATATATACTCTTCTACAGTACTCTATTGCGCCAAACAAAGATATGAGGATCTTCACAAAGCTCTCTGCACCACTCTGCCTCCTTTTTGTCTTCCTCTGTCTTAAAATTGCCTTCTCATCCTCTATACATGCTTCTTCCTTCTCAACAACGCATCTCTGCTCTCATGAGGAGGCTCTTGCTTTGTTGCAATTCAAGACATCCTTCTCCATCAATTACACTGTTCCGTATCCAGATTATTATGTGGATCTTTTGTATACTATACCTAATTATTCTAAGATTGAGTCATGGAAGGAAGGTATAGACTGTTGTTCCTGGGATGGGGTTAGCTGTGATAATGTCACAGGCCATGTAATTGCCCTTAATCTCAGCTGCAGTCACCTTTCTGGCACCTTTCCTTCCAGCAGCACTCTTTTTCTCCTCAAAAACCTGCAGAGTCTCAATCTTGCCTTCAATGATTTTAGGCTTTCCAAGATTCCACCAGAAATCAGTCAGTTTACTAGACTAAAGCATCTTGATATATCTGATTCTCGATTTTCGGGCCATGTTCCGAGAGAAATTGCTCACCTCACCAAGTTAGTTTCTCTCAATCTCTCTAATTATTACATTTCTTCTGACTTGATCCTTGAAACAACTACCTTCAAAAATCTTGTTCATAACTTGAGTGAGGTGAGAGAACTTGTGCTTAATGGAGTGAACATGATTTCTGTTAATCCTCATTTCTTCATGAATCTCTCTTCTTCTTTGACTTCTCTTCGTCTTTTTAATTGTCAGTTAAGAGGAAACTTTCCAAACAGTATTTTCCGCTTTCCAAATCTCAAGAGATTTAGTTTAGGTGGAAAGGGAAACCTCACTATTGATCTTCCAAGTTCCAATTGGAGCAGTCCTCTCGAACGGTTGTATTTAGGTGCCATGGATTGCGGAAGGCGATTGCCAGAGTCTATAGGGAACTTATCTCAACTAACTAACCTAAGCCTCTTTTTTAACAATTTTAACGGACAAATCCCATCATCACTCGCAAACCTCACCCAACTTACCTTTCTTAACCTTTTCAATAATCAATTTTCTGGTCCCATTCCATCATCTCTTGCAAACCTCACACAACTTCGCTATCTCTTCCTTTCTTGTAACTTACTTAATGGCACGTTGCCACCTTGGATTTTCACCCTACCTTTGTTGGAGAACTTGAATCTCAATCAAAACCAATTTCAAGGTCAAATAAATCAATTCCAGCAAAAATCACTCAGAAGTCTAGATTTGTCAAACAATAGACTCCAGGGCTCAATTCGTAACTCAATTGCTAATTTAGTAAATCTCAGTTATCTCGATTTATCATCAAATAATTTTAGTGATTTAGGAGAACTTGACATGTTCTCGGCGCTTCAAAATCTGGAAGCCATCTTTCTTTCAGACAATAATTTGTCCTTGAGAATGAATGTCAATGCCAACTTCACATTACCCAAACTAACTCATGTTTCCTTTTCTTCTTGT